ACCTGAGGGCCAGGGGGGGGTGGGGGGGTGGAAGGGTGGGGGGGGGGGGCGACACTGAGCACAGTAGAGGTATTGTGAGAAGCGACATTAGAAATCAAGGGCACTGGCGGGGACAGTATTTCCCTCTGGTACTTTAGACACGAGGTGGATAAAGAAATAAAAGGAGGAGACAGAAGAGGAGAGTAGGAAAGGATACTGGTAAAAACAAGGAGGGATGAACACACAAATGTTAGTCTAGACACTGTCTCCAGAAGACTAACATTCGTATTTCATTTATCTTTTAAAATAAATTAACAGAAAATTAGTAAATTGAGAATTAAAGATATACATTCAAAACTATATTTTGAGAGTGAAAACAAGTTTATTAAAGACAGTGTACAGAATGGTCTACTCCATAGCGAAGAACGGAAACCCTGGAAGGGAAGATGAAAGCGCTCCCCCACAGGCAGAGCAGCCCCAAACTATAATCTTGGTAAGAATGAAAGGCTCCATCCATCTGGTATTTTTTGTTTTATTTTTTTCCCCTCAAGGGATATAGAGGCTAGTGATCAGGCGGCGGGGCTGACCCCCTAATTTGGTGCCAACGAGACTCGGTCTCCCCACTGCAGCTGGCGGCTTGGACCAAGAATCCTGCCAAGGGGTTCATGGACCCCCAGGACGGTGCAGAGGCTGCGGCCCTCCCTTCCATAGGCACACACTCTAGAAAGCTACTCGTGCTCTGAGCACACGGATAGGCTGCTTTCTACCCACACCACGGGCAGGAACAGGGCGCAGGCACAAGCACCATCGGGACCAGCTGGAGCGCGTACTCCCCCATTCACCCGCGTGGACGACCCACCGCCCCTTCTGGGGGCGGGGGTCGCCCCCAGCCGGTGGCCCCCAGACCTGCCACAGCCCCTCCCCCGCCCGCCCCCTCTTGTCTCCGTCCTACCTGGCGCCCTTCGCACAGGGGCAGCTCTGATCTCTCGGCCGTGGGTCCCCACCAGGATGGCTCGGGGCTGACGCGAAGCCAGGGGCACGGTCTTGGAGAGGCGCGCGTGGCTGCCTGCGCTCCCGGCGCCTGCCCTCGGGGCCGACCGGGTCAGCCCCGCAGACCCTCTGGGCGGCCGCAGCGGCCGCGGCCCCCGCGCCCCGCCCCCCC